AAATTATTATTTTTATTTTTTTTTTTTATATTTATTTTTTTTTTTTTTTTTTTTTTTTTTTTTTTTTTTACATATTTGTTGAAACTGTCACCATATCCTGACAGTACGAGACAGATAATCTGTTTAAAGATGGATATCCTCTGCCTTCTCCAGTGCAGTGGTAACTAGAAGCAACCAATCAGAGCCAGGAGGCGGGGCTTAGTGCTGTCAGTCATGCAGTTAGCAGAGCCTGTTGTGAAGGCTAATGATAATTAGCGCTGCGGATAAACGGTTTTCCTGAAACGGTAAGTTGTTTTTGCCCCTCTAGCACGTTTAGCACCGAGTACATGAGGTTGATTGTCAGCACTAAGACCCTCCTCTTGGCTCTGATTGGTTGGTTTTGGTGCATCTCTCCAGACGGCAGTAGCAGCTCAGGAAGGAGGAAGAGATCGATCTTTTCACAGATTATCTGTATCATAACAAACTGTCACAACATGGTGACAGTTTAACACATATGTAAAAAATATTTTGTTTTTTTAATAAAACTTACGTACTGGAGCTTTAAGCCTTGGGGCCTGGATACATAAAAATCTAAGATTTCCCTGCTGAGGTGGAGATATTTATGTCTGACAACACGATCCTACTTCTGGCGCTCTGTGGCTGATTATTGCTGCCGTTTAAACCATTTAATAAATGTCTTCAAATCAATTGCTTCCTTTTAATGCACAGCCAAGCAATCTGTAATTAAAGAGGGTCTTCTCTTTCCCAGGGTCTCAGTACACCAAGTACGGCTGCAGGAAGAAGGGAGACACGAAGATGGTCCACCGCGGATACTGTGAGGCAAACAAGAAGCCAAAGCCGATCCGCCGAATGTGTAACCTTCAGGACTGCACTCAGCCTCAGTGAGTACAGCTTTCAGGCACAACAATCCAAAGATTACACTTCAATGAAAGCATAAAAATGTTAAATCACCTAAATGTAACTCCCTTTTTTTTCTGAGATTTAGACGGAAGTTGAAATGAAAAACTAAAACTAATCTGTATAACTTTTGGTTTACATTGGACTCATTATTTCTCAAAGTACAAAAATGAAATTAAGACAAAGTGAAGCTGAAAAACAGTCCAAAAAAGTGAAGATTTAATGCAGGTGTGGCACAAGAATGAAAAATAAACTGAAAGCTTTGGTTGTTTTCTACACAGAAACGGGAAATAAACTCCCTTTGCTACTCGGGGCGCTGAAATTCAGCTCTAGGTTCAACTTTCATTACTTTGTTTACTTCTAAAATCATTGAACATTCAAAAAATGTCTTTGATATGTGGTCTGTTGTGCTGTGTAGTTCAAAGTGTAGACAGTTTTTATATTATGTAAAAAGCTGAGTGAAATTTTTCGTAGCTATAAAAGCAGAACTAGGCATGGCTCAGTTTTGCAAACTTTTAAAACTCCAACATTTCCTTTTAGAGACCCTTTCAATTATTTAAAGTCCTGCAGACTTTAAATTCCTCTTTGTAATGAGAGGTCAGAGGAAGAGAAAATGCAGACCAGAGTTTTCTGCATGATGCACAGAGTTTGTTTCCTGCATCTGTTGCTGCACAGAAAAACTTACAAGAAAAACTAATTTGGAAAATATTAGCAAATTTGGTAATATTTTACTAGTGGTGGACTCACTGCTGCCAATGGGCTAAGAGCTGATCTAACTTTTTATTTGCTCACTTGGCTTCTCCTCAATTAATTTATCCAGAAAAAATCTAATTGTTTTGTTTAACATATATTTTAAAGTTTTTGTTGTAAACTGTTAAGCATTCTTGAAGCATTTGGACGTTTATGTTCATGCTCTTATTTTGAAGTTGGTGAAGATCCATTTCCTCTCCTCGTGGTCTAATTTTCTTCCAAGAATCTTTATAGAACAAATGACAAATAAAGGACATATGAGGTTTATAGAGTAATAATTCATTCATATGAACAAACAACCAGGGCTGCTAATGAACAGATCTGCCGGTTCGCCACCTGTGATGCGGTCCAGCATTTATTCTTCACCCAGAATGCACTGCTTTAAGGCTTTGGGAAACAACGAAACAATCAACTGATGTCCTTTCTGATCATGGTCAATCAGGAAAATTCAGCAGAGGAGTCATCAAGACTCAACAACAATAAAACTAGTGAGCTTTTGCTGTTTCCATAGCACTTTAGCATTAGCACAGCTAATGATTAATCCTGTAGTTAGTGCTTTATGATTAACTGTTTTCTTAGCAGTTAGATTAAATAAACTTTCTAAATTGGTCTTAGTTATGAAAATTGACATTCTGATGATTTCTGTGATTTTTCTTACCTGCATAGAGACACTGTGATGAATGTCTGGGGAAAGCTGGATATGAAACAAGGTCACAAAAAAGACTTGATTATTTAAAAAATGTCATAAATTGCTAAAGTCTTGATTAAAATAGTCGTTTGCCATGTTTGTTTGTAGAGGTTGGTTCCCTTTGGCTGCCAGTCAGGATGTGCCGAAGCAGAAATGACGGCGCCTTCGCTCTGAAACCTCCTCAGTTTTCTCTGTGCTTCATTTGCATAATGCAGATGTTTGCTTCAGAAATGTGCGTCCAAATTACAGGTGTTTGTTAGGCAGACATGGCCGTCTGCCCCGACGATACGTTGATAAGACAATGGAGGTAATTTACAAGCTGATGAAAACGGCGAAATTACTGCTTCCATTTCTGTGTAAGTCTAATGCGTCATTTGGGACAGTTTAGCCTCTATAAACAGAGAGGCTTATTTACCCACTAATGTTCTGAACTTTTAGTCAGTAACCCAGAGAATGATTTCACGCTGAACGCAGACGCTGCAGACAGACTCTAAATCTTTTCATTTTCCTCCTGCTTTTGCAGGAGTTTGAACCGGAGCTTTCTAGCTGCACCAATATCCTCTACCAGAATGAATAAATACAGACATCAAACTCGCCTCTGATGCATGTAAGGAGGAGTGACTGTCTGCTGCTGCTGCTGTTGAAACCTATTAGGAAGCACCAGAGCGTTATGTCAGATCAATACTTCCTGGTTTTAAGCAGAGCTGAAAGAGAAACTATGGATTCTGCGGGTTTCTGAAGGGAAGATTAATCGTGTTTTTCATGAGATCGTTGCTGTTTGATAAAATCCCAAGTTGCTGCTGAACTTCAGAGTTTTTAAAAACTTCCTCAGAGCCGAGGTCTGATGCAGTTTTCACTCAGGTGTATTTATCTGAAATGCTTTGGGGTTTTTCTAAAAACGGATTCATTGAAGTAACTTTAAGGTGAGGCTGTAATTCAAAGGGCTTTACTTGATGAAAACATAAAATAGTTACAGTGACATAACAAAGGGAAGTAAAGTTTTACTACAGACTGAAAGTTATTATTATAAAGAGAACAGATTTTAGCTCTGATCTGTGTTTCAGGCCATCAGAAGGGCTGGGAATCTCTTCATTGTCGTTTGATCAACTTGGGGGCCCCAAACAGCATCTTGCCCTGGCCCCCATGAAGCCAGAAACGGCCCTGTTAGCATAAAGCTAAATTGAAACACAAGCAGTACGCTCCATTATCATCTGGTGTTTTAAGACTTGATCAATGTAACCTGAGAATCCATGACGCCACCAGACAGGATATTTCACATGAGATGCTGCTTGGCTGTAGCTCCTTTGTTGGATGGTGAGTCTTTATCACCAAACCCTTAATGTTCCCTGGGTTTATCTGCTGTGAGCATTTTGGGGCTTTAAACCTGCTCCTCCTCGGCCACCTAATGCCTGCAGGAGCGCTGCTGATTGTGAGACTGAGAGAAACAATGCTGAACTCTCAAAAATAAGATCCTGTGATTTTCAGCTGACAAAGCAGCAGACAGCACCTGGACAAAAACAAAAAGGTCTCACAATAAAAGCTTTAACGTTGATTATGGTTTGCTGTGTTTCCATAAGCTTCTGTCACAACAGCTGATTCCATCCAGTGTTTCATTAGTTTTTACCAAGATCTTGTATTGATGATGGGAAAATCTGACAGCTGACTGAAGCTACGGTGGCCCTGAAGTTCAAACTACATCAACAAACACTAAGCTCAACTACAAATTAACAAAACAGAACAGGAAGTTGTTCTACAGAAACTTTAATTTATTTCGAACATGATAGAAGCATAAAGTCACACAGAGGAACAAGGAAAACAAAAGACCACGATAATCTTAACATGCTTCTGACTTTCCAAACGGAAGAAACAAATGAACATTTATTTCTTCAGTGCTGTTTAACATTCTAACATAAACATTTTAATAATCTAAATTATTAATTCATCTGGATAAGTTTCTGCCTCTCTCCCCTCAAACTTTACAAAATAAAATCTGTTACAGTTTAAGACCTGAGAAGTTTAAAAAGTATTTCTGTTCCAGTTTCTAGAGCAAATATCTCAGCAGACTTGAAATAATACAAAACTAACTTACAAGTATCTTTTAACAAGATATGAAAGCTTGTTTAAGTTAATAATTCCTTAATATTGATGAAAAAGTTCTAGTTCTACTGGCAGATTATTTCACTTATTGGAAAAATGTTATAAACGAAATAATCTGCCAAGTATTTTCCATAAATATTTAGAAATTATTTTCTTAAAATAAGCCCCTTTATCTTGATGAAAAAGTTATTTATAAGTTAGTTTTGATTGAGCAAAAATACTTGGTAAGATTTTGAGTTTTTGCAGTGTATGAAAAACCATCTTAGGACAAAGAAAAAAAATATGAAAACTAGTTTATATTTCTCGACTAAAAAAGAGACTATTTACTGTTTTCTGCTTAAATAAATTAAACCTAATACATGTTTTACTAAGATGAATGCCAGTCACTACAAGACACCGTTTTTTTTATTATTTCTTGCTTATTTTTCAGGCTTGTTTTAAACTAGACTCAGTAAAAAATGTCTGACTTTCCACACAAATGTTAAAATGAATAGATTTAATTTAATATTCTGTGTGCGTCGGTGATAACTGGAGCCGATTCTGAGCCGTTTGCCTGAGTGGGTTACTGAACAGGCCGAGCTGCTGCTGACAGAAACGCTGAGAGCGTCTGCAGGAAGGAGCTTTACTGGCAGCCGTCCCTGGAAACTGTTGGAGCCTCACTCATCCGAATCGGGACGCAGCAGGAGGCGGCTGCTTCAGGTTACCGTGAACTTCAGTGCTGTGAGAAAATGCGACGTAACGCTTGAGAGCGCTCACGGTGCGCTGATGTTAGCCTTGAAGGAATGAAGGAAACTTTCAAATCTGAGGAACTTCTAACAACATTTTTTAAACCAACTTTTATTTTCTCCCCTGAAACGAGAACTTCTTTTAAAGATAAGTGTAAACTGCAGAAACACAAAAGTATTTTTGGTCTAGTTCCCAGTGCAAATATCTTAACACACTTAAAATAAGGCAAAACAGATTTACAAATAGTTTTTCTGCAAGATTTAGGCGCTTGTTTTAAGTCACTAATTCCTTCATATTTATGAAATATTGGCCGATTATTTCACCGATGGCATGGAGAAACTATCATGCTGTCGGTGAAATAATCTAAACTATTATTTTTTCATCAATATTAAGGAATTATTGACTTAAAACAAGCACCTATATCTTACTGTCACAATAGCAAATTTTACTGGACGATAAATTGTCCCAGAAGTTATTGCAATAAACGATAATATTGTTTTCCAATTGTATATTGATAATTGCATAATACTGCAAGAACAGATTCTCAAAGATCAATAAACTTTGAATTCTAATGAACATTTAACTATAGAACTGGAAGAGGTTTTTAAATATCCAAAATAAATAAACAAAACGACAGAAAAAACAAATAAAATTAATTATGAAGTCTCTTTAAGAAAGGAGATATTTGAGTCAAATACCAGACTGAAAACTTTTGTCATCCAG